CACACACACACACACACACACACACACACACACTTAACCTTCTTCTCTCTTTTTCAGTATTCGTACAGTGATCAAGATGTGAAATGAAGGTAGCGTTCTGTCTTTCTCAAACAGAAGTGTTTATATTCTGTTCTGACATTAGTTGCATATACATCATATACTGTATATATACAGTACATCATATACTGTAAACATTAAAAATCTTGTTACGTCACAGCAGTTTCGTATTCAGTATGGTTTCATATGTACTGTACAACAAAGTTTTATTTCTTCTTTAAAATGCTTATATTCTCAAGGAATATTTATTGAGACAGAATGTATGTTTCATTCAATAAAGCTTAATCTGATTTGGTTGCATCTTCTCTCTTTAACCAGTAGATGGACTGCTTGTACTACAAAACCTTATTCACTTCCTTTGTCTACTGTGTGCTGTCTGCATTGAGACTCTGGAGTTTCTTCAGTCTAACCTTTATTATAACATATCACTGAGGCATGGATCAATATGTGCTAAATGTTCTTGTGTTTTTGTTACACATTGTTACAGAGCAAACCACCAGCACTCCCATATACCATTACTGCCCTGTGAAACCACTATTCCATCTACAATAATATTATCATCTGAGCCTTCATTGTCTACTAGTGGGACATGAGAAGTCTCTAGAAAAAAAATTGTCATAGGGAGATGCATGGGTGCATGCCACTGCCACTAGGGGTTACATGCAGCTGATCGCGGGTTGCATTTTGACCTTGGTAATATCATATATTGATTTAATATAGCATGCTCTTGAGGGTTAGAATAGCAGTTGTGGCCTGTCAGAGACAGAGACAAAAGGCTGGCTGGGGAATGCCTCTCCATGATGAACTGGGATGGCTGTCCAGGATTTTGCTTTATTGTAGTTCCATTCAGATCAAATGAGTACTCTTGGCAGATCCCCCTCCCCCTTTTCCATCTTTACGTGAAATGGAAAATGAAGCGAAGTCTCCCTCACGTTTACCCCACCTCTGCCATATTGTGCAATCAATCAGAGATTCAAAGCTGCGAGATTTCGTTGCCCTTTCCATTGAAACTGAGAAAGACTGCTGAAAAATGGAGACATCAAAAGATAAAAGACAAGTAGCAACAGGTGCATGTTCACTGAGCTCATTTGTGGATGCAGGGAATTTTGTAGGGGGCAAATTTACAAAGGCCCACTAGGTGATATATGTATGTAAAAAGATCTTGCTCTTTTTCTCATTCATTACATTTCAAGCTTTTCTCAAAATAAAATAAAATACACAAACGTTTATAATTAGTTAAGTGGGCAATTCAGACTTTCTTTTCAGTTAGTTGGCAGTAGTGGCACTAAAATTAACAAACCTACATTTCTTTTATAAGTAGTGGGTAGCGTTATGAAATTCTGCAAAGTTACATTTATTTTGACATCTTGATATTTCAGCAATAAAGACATTGGTTGTTTATTAGAACAATTGATGTCCGATTCTACAATGAATGACTCTTTTGAGTCAGTTCGTTTAAATGAATAGGTCAAAATGAAGTATCTTTCAAAACCTTGAATCAATTGAACCAATCTAGGACTGTTATACAGTACATGCCATTGTAACACAAAGTGACTTTTACAAACAAAATGTGAATAACTTAGAAAAATCTATTTAACCTAAATCAATTTTAATCAGTTTTAATCATGTGGTGCGATTATATAGCCTATTTTGTCAAAGCAAATGAATGTATTTTGTATATATTTTATATAAATTAAACTCTTATATTTTATGTATTCAGAAAGTATCCCATGCCAATTTAAAAAAAGTCACATGTCTATCATAAGGATGTGACCTTTGATTAGGCTGCCCTGTGTGTTTTTCATTAACGTGATTGACATATAAATAGAAGAGTCAAATAAAGCAATGGAGTATCAGATTCTAATGAAGAATAACGATTTGTCCTGTGTGCTTACCATGACAGATATGAGACATATTCCACTCACATGAGCTTGGTCCAGGCAAATATCAGGCATTTACCCTGCCAAATGTGTAGTCAGCGCCGTGCATCATTCCGACAGACATGACAGCCTTATAAGGAAAATTGACAAACAACGGAAATGCCAGCATAGGTAAATATTGCTGCGCAAATATAGCCTGGAAGAGAAAAAATGTCAAAGGGGCGGAGTTGCCTTCCTCAATATTTAGATGGGGATCAAAAGATTTCTCCTTTATTATATTTAATGTGTGTGCGGGTGCACCTGTGTGTCTGAATGTGTGACACTGCTAGGTGGTGGTGCAGTAATTCCTAGTGCCAAATAACTTTGGTCACAATGCAGATCTTCCGGTGATCATAAGAACCAATTTTTGTGCATGCTTTAGCCAATATATTATCTCTATAATTTCAAATGATAGCCTCGAGGATGAAGAACCTTCCTCTACAAAATTGTGTCAGCAGTGTACAGCAGACTCTTTCATTTTAACCAAACTGTAGTTAGACACATTTCTACCCAGGTGGCCTAGGTGCTAAAAGATATTTGACAAACTGGTCAGACCATGTAAGATCTGGGCCATAATCTAAAAAGAGTGTGACTGTGAATGACATTACGCAAATTGAGACAAATCGCATGATTCATTTGATTTGAATGTAGAAAAATCCATTTGTAATGTCTTTGAAATGTAGATGTATTTATGTCAGTTTACTTAGTAATGGCAGTGATTTATGTGCACAGGTAAATCAAGATTTGTCAAGACAAAGACTTTGCCAGTTGGTATTCTTCTCATGTGGAAATTGAACAAATACAACGTCATTGTGTGTATGAACAACTGAGTCAAGATTCATTATATATATGACTGTCTACTTGTCTAATGTCTAATGTTCGTTTGAAGTTGAGGCATAAAATTCAGTTTTGGTTGTCTGTATTCTTTGGCATTACTTTGCTTTGAGAGGTGTGCTTCTTTTAGGTCTCCTACTCAGAGCGCAAAGGGTTTGGTGGAGAACATGAACAAACACAACCTCTGGGTTGTCTTAATTAATTGTACACTCAAGCTTCAGTGGCAATGATAACGTTAAAACAAGTACCTGAGACAGAGAGACAGACAGCACACATACAAAGAGAGAGAGAGAGAGTTCAGAGAAAAAGACAGTGGCCTAGTTCAGAATGAACACAAAGCCCAAACTGCCATGGAAGAATGCGTCCCTAAGTCAGGGAAAGACCACCCTGGTAGAGGCCCTGTTTTAGCAGTAAATCCAGGCCATTAGTGTTAATGCCAGCCAATGCCTCAGACATCCCCAGCCTAAAGCTCAACACAGCAAACCCAGATCCAGTGACACAGTCCTGGCTGCTCTAGCAAGGGAAACCCCTTATCAAATGTGCCTGGAAGGGTTAGGAGAGGTCAGCAATATTGAAGTTGCACACCTGCACTGCAGCGGATCTCCTCGTCTGAAGCTGGTTGACATTGGATTAGCATAGCCTGTTGGGAACTTCAAAGGAAGTAAATTATAATTGTTTGACTAGTGAAATGACTGCGTAAATATCTACTTCATTAAGTAAAATGATCCTTTCATTCCAGTAGGATTATAGTGTATATGACAAAAGCAGTGTTGGGGAAGCTATTTAGACACTATAATGGTGACACTTTACAAGAAGCTTAAATTTGTTAATTTAAGCCTATTAGAATGATTTCTGAAGGATCATGTGACACAGAAAACTAGAGTAATGGCTGCTGAAAATTCACGTTTTTTTTTAAATAAATGCAGCTTTAAGAGGCTTATAATATTTTTTAAGAGTTAATATTTTTTTGAAACACCTCATTTAAATGAATTGTCTGAACAACCAATCAGAAATTAGCATGAAAAGTGAAACTATTTTAAGTTACTCCCCAACACTTGGTAAAAAAAAAAAAGGTTTGAGACAATGGTATAAGGTTTGTTTGTTATGACGGTTTGCTAATACTCATGTACAAGATTTGAGGTCATATTGTGTAATAGCGGTGAAGTGACACAAAAAACACCCACACACACCACCAAAATAGATGGTTAGCATGTGTCTGAGGAGCAATTACACAATTGCAGTGTTAAGAAACACTGTCAGCCTTGTAAATGGGAGGACGGGCCCCTGCACCCATGATTCTCTACATGTTTTGACTGCAATGCCACAAAGTCTTGCCTAAAAACATTTACATACTCAGAAAAATATGTTTGCTGCATCGTACCCAGACGTGTTACACAAAAAGACATGGGTGTGGAGGGATAAATAAAACAGAAATTGGCAACACTCTCGGTCTACCTCCCACACAACAGAGATACAGACGGCACAAGAGACATTTAGAATATATGCTGTCTGTTACTTTCAACTAAGCCTGGCCTTAGGTTCAATAGCTCACTGGCTCAAATCTTACACCATATGCTGCTTGGAGATTTCCAATTAATTTGTCATTTTATCTTTTGATCTACACATCCACGGCATGAAGATCTAGCCCCCCCCCCCATTTCATTGTAGTATACAGCAGCAGAGGTGACATAAGATAATGTTTTTTAATGGAAGGTCAACTCATGTTTGAATGAAGGTGCACAGTGTTACTTTGGCTAAACCCTAAGAAGAGCATTTATTGAATATGAACGTTTGCTTATGGGGGAGGAATGTGTGTGTTTGAACCTCATACTGGAAGTGCCTTTGGAGGCTCTATCTATTTAGCAAATATCGAACGTTTCCCCCCTCAGGTGGTCGGAAACCTTTCTCGTGCGAGCTTACTTACACTTTAAAATCCCTAAGAGCAAATTTAAGCAGCAGCAGATTTGCTTAATATCAACTCTGCCACAAAACACACACCCGTGAAATGTCACCACGGTCCCCAGGTACAAAGTCAAAATATAAAAACGTCAAACAAGCAGGGTGCGAGGCATATTTAAGTTTGGAAAGTGGGCCTACAAGTCCCCTTGGCTGATTATCAGCACACACAGAGCTTATCTCACGAGGGGACTAATAACTAAAGGACACAATAAAAGAAGAAACAAACAACCTCCTGTTTAATTGACAATATTTGAGGTTAAGGTAATTGAGGTGGCCCTAGTGTGCACAGCATCAGTAATGAGACACTAAAGGGAGACCTCCTCAGATGGCTGCTAATAAAGAAGCCATAGCTAATCTTTTAAACAAACATTCATACTCAACTAACAAGGCTACTTGCTGTCACATCATACATTATGTATATTTTTCCACCTCACTTTTGACTTTCGGTGTGCTCTTGAGTTGGGTTCATATCCAAACACATC